CATTCGACTTCATTGATTGTCCAACAATTGAATTTGTGATTAAGTTTGAGGAGGAACAAGAAGTCTATGTAGTTGAATTCGAATCAGATAGAATAAACAAGCCATATTACATTGGAGGAGACAATGTAAAAATTTGGAAAATCATCGAAGAGTGGAGCAAAGGCAAAAGAAACAAAATGAGCAAGGCATCACAAGCTTTCTTCAAAGTTCCATGATGCAATTGCCAAAGTCAAGCTAATGACTATAAACAAGCGCTTCTTGGGAGGCAACCCAAACTTTTTTCTGTTTTACGTATTCATTTATTTTGCTTTTGAATTATAGGATATGATAGTTTAGTTTATTTAAGAATTCTTCATCCATATCCCATTTCCCTTAGGTCATTGAGTAATTAAGTGGGTTGTTAGATGTTTGAATTAAGTAACACTTATTCCATGTAATTAATATCTGAAATTTGACTCCCGTTTGACACCCATTAATTTCTCATTTTCATTCTCATTCTTCATTTCAACCGCGCATTCTTCAAATAAAATACTATTACACACAAATCAAAAACTTTTCATCACTTTTCCACCACACATTCTCACATCAATCACTATTCCAAAATTTCTATTCTTCTCAAAATTAGATTCAAACGCACTCTTAATTTTTTAGGAATATGACGTCGCGAAACATCCAAACCAACATTGACAAGAAGAAAACATGATACATCTCAAGTTTGGGGGGAAAAAGATAAAAGAAACATCCATCAACTTTAGCATCATCAACACCAAAACGACACTGATACATCTCAAGTTTGGGGGGAAAAAGATAATAGAAACATCCATCAACTTTATCATCATCTACACCAAAACGACACGGGCAATACAGACAATTCAGGGAAATCTCCTCATTTTTCTTTGATTTTACATTGAGGACAATGTTTAATTTAAGTTTGGGAGTGTATTATAAATTGTATCTAATTGCCGTGTTTTTATTTTTTTAATGTTTTGAGTGATTTGTGTGCATGAACAAAAAAAAAAAAATTTGGTTTTTTATTACACATTTTTGCATGTTTGTGTGAGTTAAATAGTCTTGCCAGCATTGATGTATGTAATTGAGAACATGTGTTGATTTATGAATTGTGGATAAATTATGTGTTTGAGTTAATATTTTTGCTTACTCATGTGAAACGAAAAATATTTATGCACGTGAATTGATTGTAACATTTTACATGAGTAGGTTGACTCATGGTTATAGTTTGAAATAGAGAACTTAGATGCTCAATCCCAAAACCTAATATTCACTACATCCTTAGCATTGTATAATATAATTTGAGACGTTCAAGCCGGTAAATGATATGATTGAAGATTGTGGTAATTCCATGCATGCTGAAAAAATATTGTGTGGAGTTTTCAAGTATGAACTAGGTGATGACCATATGCTAGGAATCTAGCGCTCTGATTATTTTTGCTTTCTTTTTAAAGAAAGAGCAATGCACTTGATAACTCATTGTC